GAGGAGGAGGAGGAGGAGGGGAGGAAGAGGAGGAGGAGGAAAAAGATGTGATGGCAAGACCTTCTATAATGCACTTGTAGAATTTCTATTGTTCCTTTAAGAATTTTATAATGTAAAGAGAGTTACAGTTGATTGTTAAAAACACCTAAAATTTTACAGCTTTTGTTTTACTGGTAGTTGTAACTCAGACAAAAATCACAGAATGTATGAATAGTTTTCAGATTTTTAAAAAATCTCTATATTAATTCATGTTTGTTGACTATGGATGCTCAGTAAACATAATCTATTAAATACTTGATAACATAGTCTGGACATTAAAAACAGAGAATGACTAAAGAACAAAAAGCTACCACTACCAGCCATTCTGATCAGGAACACAATAGATCCTCACCGAATGGGAGCAACACGAGGAACAGATCCGTTTCTTGAAAAGTCCTGACATACCGGACCAGTTGAGGTTGGAGGGTTCGCTGAAGTTATCACTTTGAGATACTCTTTTTTCGTTTGTTTAAGCAGGAGTTGCTTTAATCAAGGGGTGAAGTCCACAGTTGGGGGACCTCACTCAACCTTTGGTGGCAGGGGAGATACTCTTTAAACCTGGAACCACAACTATTCCATGAGGACATCTTTTAGCTAACTAGCAGATTGACTCATAAAATAAACAGTACCCATGAGTATTATGTGCCTTTTAAAAATCATCTATCTGAGATCAAATGATCAACACTTAACTCCAAAGTAAACAAAGACAAGAATTCAAGAGGGCAGAGAAACCCGATTACTGGAAAAAGAACAAACAAAGCAGAAATAAGAGAAAATTGACCTGCTGCTGATGCCATTGAACAAATTTTGTAGAAATAGTTAGATGGGAATCTAAGTTTTTTGTGTAAACTTCCCCCAAATCAATAAACGATTATGTTTTTAAAAACAAGGAAAGAACTGTCGTTTTTTGCTTTGAATTGTCTTTACCAAAAACTGAACACTGAATGGGAAAATCTGTTTCACCCTGTTCTAATTTTTACCCCTTCTAATTCCATTCCATTCATTTTCTTCTTGTTAAGGAAACCGGGGTGGCTTAGTGGCAGGAAGCTGTGCTGCAATCCCAAAGGCATGTGGTTCAAATCTACATGCTGCTATACAGGAGAAGAATGGGCAGTCTCTTCCTATGCTATTTACCGCCTCCAAAAACCTGGGTGAGGGTGAGCTATGAACTGGTTCTGACTTGACAGCACACAATGACAACAACAAGAAGAACAACTTGTTAAGCACACAGGAATCAAGGTGCAGCACACGTAATGAAGGGTGTACAGAGAGAGGAGGAAACCAGTTTGCATAGCAATGTGAATGTCAGACAAGGCTCTCTCGAGCCAGCCTTTGCTTTGGGCCCCTGACTGTCCCATCACAGGCCTAGCCTCTTCTTCCACTGTCTCTCTTGTGAGAGATACACACCACCCCCACTAACATTTACAATTCAACATTATTCAAGTGTATAATTTAGTGGTTCCATTTATTATTATTATTATTATTATTTCTGTTGTACAATATACATACTTTGAGCATATAGTCAGGAGGGGGCAGTACTTAGAAAAAGAGCACCATACTGGGGAAGGTAGAGGGTGCAGAAAGGCCCTTACCAAGAATTACTGCTGTGACTGTAACAATGAGCTCAAGCACACAGAGACTGCGAGGACAGGGCAAAGTACAGATCTGCTGCTCATAGGGCTTCTGTGAGTTGTAGTGATGTTGTTGTCGTTATGTGCCGTTGAGTTGCCTGCGACTCATAGCTACCCTATGCACAACAGCCTTAAACCCTGCTCTGTCCTATACCAATCTCACTGTCTCTGACACACCAACCCCCATTACCCCAGAAACGGAATCAATCCACCTCATAGAGGATCTTCCTTTTCTGTGTTGTCCCTCCACCCTCCCAAACATGACGTCCTTCTCCAAGGACTGGTCCCTCCTTGCAACATGGGCAAAGCATGTCAGAATCTTCAGAATCTTTACCTCCAAGGAGCAGCCTGGTTTAACCCTCTCAAGGAAGAACCTGCTCATTTTCTTAGCAGTCCATGGTATATTCAATACTCTTCTCCAGCACCACAGAAATTTTCCTTCTATCCTCCTTAGTCATTGTCCAACTCTCTGATGCACAACAAGTAATTGCAAAGATCATGGCCTGTATCAGGCTCACCTTCGTCTCCAGAGTGACAACATTGCTCTTCAGTACTTTGTAGAGGTCCCTAACAGCAGACTTTCCCATCACAATACATACATCTTTTAATAGTAGTGATGGCACTTAACAATAACATCACTGCATAACCATCAGCCATGGCCGCTACAAAATTCCACATCACCATAGACAGAAACTTACAGCACCTCTTTTTTTCTTCACTATTTTCAAGTTTTGAACCTTCCGTTTTTGAAGAACGTCTTGATTTTCCCCCCTCCTCCTTCTATTCTTGACCTACCAGACGATTGTTCTTGCAAGCAGAGTCATGAAAAACAGATATCTGCTTGCACCTGCCGGCCACCCA